CCAGTTAACTGTCTCTAATTTGCAAGGAATGAACAGCTGTCAGAAGAAAACAATAATCATGCGGATTCTCAATGAACTGGTATTTGTTATAGACTCGGCATTATTCGCAGAAATTTTTCTGTCTCTGACTTGATAACTCTTTTAATAAGAGCTTGCGTGTGACTTGAATCAAGAAAACTCACTGAAGTCATAAAGAATATTCTCACTCAAATTTTGATCATTACATAATGTTTCCAGGTCTGCACTAATAAAAAGATTTGCCACTGCCAAGGAGGATTTGATCCCAAAAACGGTTGCAAGTCAGGTGAGAGCCGAAGGTTTTTTTCTCTGATATTCAGATTTTCTTTTCTCAATGAGAGATATCTGCTAATATCTCTTGCGCTTCGAACTTCCTTGTGCAGAACTGACTCCACGTGACGGAGCCGGGGGTGAGTGTTCCCCTGGTTTTATTTATATGACCCAGATCTCAGATAGGGTGTAAAGCAGATGGAAGAAGAGCAATTTGACATTTTAAATCATATCAATATTCAAATGAGCAAGCGAAACTACAGAGAAAGACGCGACGCTTCCAAACATGATTGTCATCAAGCGTCACCATCCCCAAAATCCGACCGAGCGGATTGTTATCTCTAAAAGGCCAGTTTTCACCTATTATAGAGTCGTGATTCTTATATATTGGAATCTTTGAATTCAATTTGTTACCATTTGCGTGCAGCCACTAAAATTTGGTAGACTGTCCATGTGCGAAAAACTCATCAAACCGATAAAGCCAAGATTTTCCTAAAAAAAAGTTATGATTTAGTGCTGTATTTGGCAAAACAAACAAACCCAGTCTGATTATTCAGAAGACTACACTTAAACTGAATTCTCTATAAAATCAAAGCTGTAAGGTAATGGCAACAACAAATTGCAAGTATTGGACATCGAATGGTCATTGCAAAAAGTCTGCTCCCTACATGTCTAAGAACTGCCGTAAGAGTTGCAACCTTTGTCAAGGTATTATGACCACTCAATAAAAACTTTAAATAGAGCGACCAAAAGTTTAAACATTCTTATAATGCCTGATTGCTGTAATATTTGATTGTGATATGACATATGGTACGGTAGCTATAATTTTATGGGCCCAACCCACAACCCCGAGTTGATTACCTCCAGAAACGCTCAGTCTGTCAAACCTGTCTCTTATTAATAACACAAAACTTTGAAAGTGTTACAATAACTGAAGCAGAGCTGTATTTATTTGGCCAATGAAAAGCGAGAGAAGGAAATTCACGTTATTTTCTATAGAATATCTCTTCAGGCTGTCTCTTGTTTGAAAAATATGAGAAGGCTAAGTAAATAACTTAATTACTTTTTTTTTCGACCATTAAATGATCTTTCCTCTTGTTAAAACAGAGGAAGGAGAAAAACAAGAGGGAGGCGAAGAAGAAGGTAAATCAGGTTTGGTTTTAATTACAATTTCTTTCTTATGGCTAAATTTTGACTTTTATCGTATTCCTCACAAATAGCCAATTTCTTTTAGTTATCAGCTTCCTGTTTGATCGATATTTTCTTTACAATTTGTACAGAAAAGGCTAAATAAATAAGTTAATTTTTTTGACTGTTAATTGTCTTTCTTCCTGTGAAAACAGAGGAAGGAGGAAAAGGAGAGGGAGGCGAAGAAGAAGGAAGTTCAGGTTTTGTTTTTTTATAATTTCTTTTTTATTGTTTAATCGACTTCTATCGTGTGCCTCACTAAAAGTTAAGTTGATAATAATCCAGCCTATGGATTAGGTCTGCTTAAGTCTGCTCACTACATTCTAAGAACTGCCGTAAGAATTGCAACCTTTGTCAAGGTATTATAACCACTCAATGAAAACTCTAAAATAGAGTAAACAAAAGTTTAACAATTTTTGTTATGTTTGATTGCAGTAAAACTTTTTTGTGATATGAAATATGGTACAATAACTATGAGTTGACGAGTGTAACTAATATCAAACTAACATCACCAGAATAGTATAGCAGACAGTAAGGAGAACTACAAATGAGATCTTGAAAGTAAAAGGGTACAAGTGAAACTATTTTCTCCCTTGGAAACAGGTGAAGAGGAATACGAATACTCAGGAGGAGAAGAATTTGAAGATGAGGAAGACGATACGAATGAAGAAGACAATGAGAAAGAAGTAGAATATGAAGACGACGAAAAAGGCGAAAAACGAGAGGGAAAAGATCTCGAAGAAGACTTAGAAATGTCCTTTGCTAAAAAGTAAACATTTCTGCTCTATCATCACTCTAACTGATAAGCATCAACGTTTGAACTCTTCTCGTTGGAAATTTTTATTCAAGAAGCTAATCAACTGATGTTTAGAACAAGCTTTAGTCTTATTTATCCAATAGTATGTTAGAATTTATTGTTGTATCGTGTAATCATGACTTTTTTTTGTGATGTAATCTGCTCCACTTTAGTAGCCAAAGGCTGTAGTGCAAAAGCTTTAAACATATTTGGGGTTATATCTTTACTAGTATTCAGGCTATATCTTGACTGTAATCTTGGTGTGGAGTAGGAAATTTTTATGCAAGGAGCTAATCAACTGATGTTTTAGAACAAGCTTTAGTCTTATTTATCCAATAGTATGTTAGAATTTATTGTTGTATCGTGTAATCATGACTTTTTTTAGTTACGATGTAATCTGCTCCGCTTCAGTAGCCAAGGCTGTAGTGCAAAAGCTTTAAACATTTTTGGGGTTATATCTTTACTAGAATTCAGGGTTACATCTTGACTGTAATTTAAGTATAGTCTTGGTAATAAAACCTATATTCGACAATATTTCTACGTAAGTTGCTCCCCCGAGGATTTTCAATAATTAGAAAATATCCCGACCGAAGCTCGACCCACAAGCGTTCCTCAGGAAAAGGCCTGATTTTCTCAAAGGAAAAGGTGACTTGATTTGCAGTTGTTGTAGAAGAAACAGACCGAGGATTACAACATCTGTTCAAACCTGGAACCCATTCATTCTCCTCTAGATTCTCGTGTTCAATATAAATGTCTCTATCTAACTCGGGTGTTCCTCTGTTGTTTCGTTTACGTGCAACATGGAATATCACCTAGGGTAAAACAGTCTTGTCACCATTAACCAAACAGCTCTCGCAGTCGCTGTGATATGGACGGTTTCTCCTCCATTGCGAAAGTGTGGCAAGCGCCAGCTTTGTATCTAGCCCTCGCTCTCATCATAGCGTTTTTTCTTGTTACCAATTTCTTTGCGTATTTTAAAGTTTATAGAGTAGTTATTCGACATCAGGCACAAAGTCACTCCCAGATGCAAGTTATGTCTGCCAATGCAGATCACGCCGGGATGCCCTTCAAACATCTCAGAAGATCTGCCATGACCATATTTTATGTGTACTGTCTTTTCCTATTTTGTTACCTTCCCTACATTGCAACACTTGTCGCTGGTCTTTTCGCGGGAAAAGGCTTCGGTAAGTATTATGCAGTCCCTAGTACACTCGTTTTTCTCAATTTCTCCTATATCCATTAGCCTCCCTGCTGCTTTTTCAGTAAGAACGTCTATGGTAACTGACTCTTTCTTGATGTTGATTCAGTCGTGTGAACGATTTGTAAGCCACCTTAAAACTCGCATAAACTAAACAGAAATATTTAACCCCTTCACTGAGAAGTGTGGACAGAGCTCTTATGCCTTTGAACTCTCAGAGATTAACATCTGATTTCTCCGCATAGTACCACCCCTGAGTCACAATTACGGTCACGAGAATATAGGAAAAGATCATCGACTAACTGAGTGCATCAGTTATGGATATCGCACTCGAAGGAATGGTAACTCGTAAATAAACATGTGAGGCAAAATTAGCCTGTGAGCCCAAAGGCTCATCTCCCAGGTCCAATCCCTGTATGAATGGCATAAAGCGACAAATAATACCGCTACTTCCCCCCTGGAGGGGATGTCCCCCCTCGTAACTGCGGTAACCATAACTTTCCGACATCACGATTAACTGATAAAAGGCGATTTACTGATGTAGGAGAACGACGAGGGTTGAAAATTGTTACTATTACTCAAAAACTGCACCTGCACTCGATGAGAATACACGAAGAAGAAATAAATAACATTGGTACCGCTCGGAAGCGAACTGCGACTCGCGCGACTACAGAGAAGAGGCCTCCTGAACAGAGAAGACTAAGTTTATATACGCAGGAAAAACTGAAAATTAATGCAAGCGAAAACGACTAACTGAAGTGTAAATGACGCCAATAATTACGAATGAAACAATAATGAACGAAAGTAGGCGATAGGAAAAACAAAAGAAGCTAACTAACCGGCAGAAAAAACACTGATTGAGATGACGCAAAACAGCAACAACACTCTAGAGACACCTTAGTTAACAATTTACAACATTCCGCACGCTAAGATCTTACACCTCCCCTCCCTCCCCCCAGTATTTCGTCGGGTGATAGTTTGCTGGTACCCATTTAGACCCCTGGGTGGAGAGAAGCACTATGAAAGGAAAGTGTCGCAAGCACAATAATACACCACAGTGACCCAGCTAAGACTTTTAAAAAAACTTA